AATTAAATAAAATGTTTAATCGCAGTACCTTGTCAGCAGTTACCTTCATGGAAACATGTATGAAAGAGGCATTGCTGCCTAAATGAAATTTATATATATATATATATATATATATATATATATATATATATATATATATATATATATATACATAATTTCTGTACATAAAAAAAATTGCACTTGTAGCACATGAAAAATTAAATAAAACGCTTAAACGCAGTAACTTCTCAGTTGTCTTTAACGAAACATATATATATATATATATATATACATATACAGATAGATAGATAGATAGATAGATAGATAGATAGATAGATAGATAGATGTGTTTGTATATTTTGAACAATAAAAATATTAAAAAATTAAAATCTTCAGACACACTGGGTTGTAGATTAATATTCTTTCGTTTTTATTATTATTATTTCATTTAGATATGTTTGAATATATATATATATATATATATATATATATATATATATATATATATATATATATATATGTTTGTATATATATGTGTGTGTGTGTGCATATAAATCAGAGATCGTTAACGTTTCAACAATATTCCAGTATAAGTTGAAGTCCTTTAAATGTGAGCAGATTTTTGTCAGCCAAGTGACAATAGTTAATAAAAAATATTCTAACAACCTATTTTTAAATACTTGCCATGCTGTAAGGTTTTTAGTATTAAACAGGTTTGAAACTTGAAATAAAAAAAAAATATATAGTATATACATGATTTACCTCTAATGGTCGCTCTTTGTCGTGGTGGAAGAGCTTGCGTGGTCCAATTACTCTGAGAGCGATTCCGTCTGGAGTTCTAAACTCCTGGTAGGGCCAACCTTGGCGGCAAGATCAAACGGATGATAATTCAAACAGATCTCAACGGTTGAATCAGCGTATGCATATGCATGACGGACATGTAACAGAAGGCGTCACTGGAAATTATAACAGAGTCAGCGGCAGTCCGTTGCAGTTTCATAACTGGAATCTGCATGTCTCATTCCATATGTGCCGCAGAGGAAACTCATGAAATCAAGTGTGTAGTTCACTTCCTGGCAAGCTGAGGTCCATCTTAAACAAATTCATGTCATCGGCACTTTCTTCTACTCTGATTTTGTTTCACCCCAACCAAATCTTGCAAAGCCAAACGGCGATAAGGAATTGATGACGGTGGGGGGGGGGCAGGTTTTGGTGAAACTGGAAACTATCCGTTGTAGAAAAAGTGTTTAAACATCCAAGAACATTTATGCTAACATGATTGATACATTAAGGGATAACGCTCCAGATATATCAACAGGGAAAATGTGGCCAGCTGAATTTAGGAGAGAAAGGAAGAGTCTTGAAGATGACCGAAGATTTGGACGTCCTGAAACTGCTGCAAACAAGGAAAACATTGATCGTGTTCTCCAACCAATGACTGACGATGAATCAAATAGCCAATTCTATTAGCATATCCAGTATGGGAGTTGAAAATATTCTGCACAATGAAATTGGCATGACGAAGGTTTATACTTGGCAAATGTCACAACTTCTGACACCTGATCTAAAGCGAACCAGGCTGATCACATCATTGAAAAAATTGTCATTGTTTGAGGCAGCTCTAGTTGGTTTCCTTGATTTTTTTTTTTAAAACTCAGGATGAGTGCTAGGTTTACAACTTTGAGTCAGAGACAAAGAGAAAATCCATGTAGTAGAAACTTCCTCATCACCTGCTCGAATAAAAGCCGAGGAAGTTTAATCTGCATGGAAAACGGTGCCTACACTTTGTTTGATTCAAAGGCATTGTGCGTATTGACTATCTTCAAAACTGCCACACCATTAATAGAAAATATTATCCCAATTTGCTGAGGTAGTTATGAAATGCTATCAAAAACAAACGCCCAGGAGAACAATGCGGCAATTGGTTTCAATGAGCATGCTTGCCTCTTCTCCTGATTTGACGATTGTCTGTTCCTCAACATGAAAAACACTTGGATTGAGAACCAGTATCGCATTGATCATGACGTCATATCTACCGTTGATGTCTTTTTACCATAAAGTTTGAGGTCAGGCCTGGTAATTTTTTAATTGGCCCCAAAAGTAGTTGTTTTGTACTTTAAATAAAAGAAAATTATTATATAGCGTTCAAAAAGTGAGACATGAGTTTTTTTAGAAATTTTCTTATGACAAAATATAATGATTTCGTTCAAATATTCTCTTTTGACCTTGATTACTGTAGCACAAATTTTTCGCAAATGTTTTTCAAAGTATCGGTTTGATAAATGATTCAATTCTTTTCTTAATGATTCTAAGAGCTCTTTTTTTTTTCATTTTTGGATGGAAAGATTTCATTTATCCGTCAAGTTCATCCCATGTTAATTCTGGAAGTGGCTTCAAACTTTTGGAGTGTAGTATATATATATATATATATATATATATATATATATATATATATATATATTGTTCATTTTTACAATTTTCTTTGAAGACGACTGAGATACAGTGATTAAGCTTTTTAGATAATTTTTTCTTAAACGTGTTTTCATCCATTATCAAGGATGATTTTATTATCATTTTTTAACTGAATGTGCGGAATTTTATGTATGAAGCTACAGTTATAACAATTTTTTAAAAATTTTATTTTATTTTACAATCACAGTAAACACATTGTGGACGTGTGCATAGTTGATATTACTGAGTGTTGGCTTTATCTTTTTTTATTATTAGTGCTTCTATTTGTGTGTGTATGTGTGTGTATGTGTGTGTGTGGTCTACAGAGAATAATAATTCAACGATCACATTATTGACTAATAATAATATTAAATTTCACTTATTTATTACTTAATGTATTAAACTCTTTGACAAAAACGAATATCGGCGTGGACAGTGGTATCAGTGAGTCTGTTCGAATTTCTGGCTAGACTATTAAGCTTTGTCTTTGGGGATTCCGACGTGGTGTACTGGTTAGCAATATTGTCTCGCTGGATCAATTACGACCGAATAGTGAGTTCGATACTCACGGGGTACCCCATATTTTCGGCAACGTGCCACATCAAAACTCCGCTTAAAAAATTACCTTTAAACTCTCTCTTGGTTCGGTTCCCCATTTCGGGTTTTTGTATAATCTAACTAATGAACGTGGTGATTTTCACTAAGACAGGCTCATATATATTTTGTTTGAGGCCGGTTTTATATTAATAGATGATCTTTTTTCTTTTCCCTTTTAATTATTTTATTCTATTTATATATCTATCTATCTATTTCAGTTTGTTCCTTTATATCTATTTATCTATTTTAAAATAAGTTCATTCAAATCGATCGTCAAATCTGTATACTTATTTCTTATTATATTTTCCAGTTTGTTTATAACTGTTTGCTCATCAAGATTAAATTAATGTAGAAGCTGTCCAATATATATCATATTTTTGTTTGAGTTCTTCAAGCAGATCTTGATTTTATTAGGAATGTGAATGTTTTATTATTTATTTTAGCTTTATCCTTGTACTTTATAAACATTATTATTCCAAGTATGTCAGTGACATCATATGCATATAGTTTTGTAAATACGGAATTGTAATAGAGATGCTGACAGCCTTAGATTATTTCACCAGAGACAAGATTATAGAAATAATAATGAAATCTACACAAATCGTGATATACGGGAAGACCCATTTTCATAGCACCACCTAAGAAGTCAGGTACAAACGAACACTCGGCCTAAAGAGCCATATAACAAAACTAATCATCCGAATTCTGATGAATAGAGCGCGCAGCAGAATCAAACCGGAAATAGGTGAGGATGAGTGCGGGTTCGTAAAAGAAACTGGAAAAAGAAACACGATATTTATGATATCAGAGGGAGCAATAGAAATGCAGAAGACGTGTACATGTGTTTATAGATTAAGCGAAGCCATTCCATAAAGTACGCCATATTTGGAACATATTTGACATGTTCAGGAAGGATATTAGAAAATTCAAGAAACTATACTGGCAGCAAACAGCCTGTATAAGGATATAAAATGAGTTCAGCAGATATACAAAAATAGAAAGGGGAGTAAAACAAGGATGTGTTGTATTAAACTAAATAAGCGAGGTGATACTGAGTATTCATTGTTGGCGGACATAATCTTGACAAAATAAGATAAGTAGAGGATTACCCAGTGTTGATAACAGACACGGAAAGAAAACTGCAAGAACTCCTACAGAAGATAATGAATGCAAGTCGGGAGAAAGAATTAAACATCAATTGCAAGAGGACAGAATACAGGGTTGTCAGCAAAAGAATGAGCTTAAAGTGAGAATTGCAAATCGGAAATACAAAAATCAAAGATAAAAAAAATTAAATATCTAAGAAGTGTTTTAAAAGAGGCGTGAAGATGATACTAAAATTCGGAGGCGTAATGGAATAGCCAAAGTTGCCTTCGAAAAGCTAAGCAGAATACTAAGAAATAAAAAAAAAACTTCGTTAGAAAAGAGTACTAACCTGTTACATGATATCTATCCTCCTGTATTGCAGTGAATGCTGAACAATACGCTCAAAGACGAAGAAGAACCTGGAAGCGAAAGAAATGAGGTTCTACAGAAGGATGCTGTGGATATCATTGACCGAACATGTGAACAACGTCAATGGTCCAGAAAAAATGGAAACAAAACAGAAACTTATACTTAGCATTAGGATGGTGAATATACTAAGGCACGTAATGAGGAAAGAAATCTTGGAGAATCTGATATTCACAAGACAGATTGGAAGCAAGCGGAACAGAGAAAAATAATGTATAACATATTTGAGTAAACGGATGACGGAACACGGTTTAGGAGAAGTGACAAAAAGACAAAATCTTTGAAGAGCTACAAGGGAGAAAAAGTTACGGAGAGCCATGATCACCTACCTCCCGAGGAAGACATAGAGAGTCATGATCACCTACCTCCCGAGGAAGACATAGAGAGCCATGATCACCTACCTCCCGAGGAAGACATAGAGAGTCATGATCACCTACCTCCCGAGGAAGACATAGAGAGCCATGATCACCTACCTCCCGAGGAAGACAGAGAGTCATGATCACCTACCGTCCGAGGAAGACATAGAGAGTCATGATCACCTACCTCCCGAGGAAGACATAGAGAGCCATGATCACCTACCTACCGAGGAAGGGCAGAGAGTCATGATCACCTACCTCCCTGAGGAAGACATAGAGAGCCATGATCACCTACCTACCGAGGAAGGCATAGAGAGTCATGATCACCTACCTCCCGAGGAAGACATAGAGAGTCATGATCACCTACCTACCGAGGAAGGCATAGAGAGTCATGATCACCTACCGTCCGAGGAAGACATAGAGAGTCATGATCACCTACCTCCCGAGGAAGGCATAGAGAGTCATGATCACCTACCTCCCGAGGAAGGCATAGAGAGCCATGACCACCTACCTCCCGAGGAAGACATAGAGAGTCATGATCACCTACCTCCCGAGGAAGACATAGAGAGTCATGATCACCTACCTCCCGAGGAAGACATAGAGAGTCATGATCACCTACCTCCCGAGGAAGACATAGAGTCATGATCACCTACCCTCCGAGGAAGACATAGAGAGTCATGATCACCTACCTCCCGAGGAAGACATAGAGAGCCATGATCACCTACCTACCGAGGAAGGCATAGAGAGTCATGATCACCTAACTCCAGAGGAAGACATAGAGAGTCATGATCACCTACCTCCCGAGGAAGACATAGAGAGTCATGATCACCTACCTCCCGAGGAAGACATAGAGTCATGATCACCTACCTCCTGGAGGAAGACATCCGAGAGTCATGATCACCTACCCTCCGAGGAAGACATAGAGAGTCATGATCACCTACCTCCCGAGGAAGACATAGAGAGCCATGATCACCTACCTCCCGAGGAAGACATAGAGAGCCATGATCACCTACCTACCGAGGAAGGCATAGAGAGTCATGATCACCTACCTCCCGAGGAAGACATAGAGAGTCATGATCACCTACCTCCCGAGGAAGACATAGAGAGTCATGATCACCTACCTCCCGAGGAAGGCATAGAGTCATGATCACCTACCGTCCGAGGAAGACATAGAGTCATGATCCCCACCTCCCGAGGAAGACATAGAGAGCCATGAAACTACCTACCGAGGAAGGCATAGAGAGTCATGATCACTTACCTCCGAGGAAGACATAGAGAGTCATGATCACCTACCTACCGAGGAAGGACATAGAGAGTCATGATCACCCACCTACCCCGAGGAAGACATAGAGAGTCATGATCACCACCTCCCGAGGGAAGGCATAGAGAGTCATGATCACTACCACCTCCCGAGGAAGGCATAGAGAGCCATGATCACCTCCCGAGGAAGACATAGAGAGTCATGATCACCTACCTCCCGAGGAGGAAGACATAGAGAGTCATGATCACCTACCTCCCGAGGAAGACATAGAATCATGATCACCTACCCTCCGAGGAAGACATAGAGAGTCATGATCACCTACCTACCGAGGAAGGCATAGAAAGTCATGATCACCTACCTCCCGAGGAAGACATAGAGAGTCATGATCACCTACCGTCCGAGGAAGACATAGAGAGCCACGATCACCTACCTACCGAGGAAGGCATAGAAAGTCATGATCACCTACCTCCCGAGGAAGACATAGAGAGTCATGATCACCTACCTCCTGAGGAAGACATAGAGAGTCATGATCACCTACCTCCCGAGGAAGACATAGAGAGTCATGATCACCTACCTCCCGAGGAAGACATAGAGAGCCATGATCACCTACCTCCCGAGGAAGACAGAGAGTCATGATCACCTACCGTCCGGTGAAGACATAGGGAGTCATGATCACCTACCTCCCGAAGAAGACATAGAGAGCCATGATCACCTACCAACCGAGGAAGGCATAGAGAGTCATGATCACCTACCTCCCGAGGAAGACATAGAGAGTCATGATCACCTACCTCCCGAGGAAGACATAGAGAATCATGATCACCTACCTCCCGAGGAAGACATAGAGAGTCATGATCACCTACCTCCCGAGGAAGACATAGAGAGCCATGATCACCTACCTACCGAGGAAGGCATAGAGAGTCATGATCACCTACCTCCCGAGGAAGACATAGAGAGCCATGATCACCTACCTACCGAGGAAGGCATAGAGAGTCATGATCACCTACCTCCCGAGGAAGACATAGAGTCATGATCACCTACCTACCGAGGGAGGCATAGAGTGTCATGATCACCTACCTCCCGAGGAAGACATAGAGAGTCATGATCACCTACCTCCCGAGGAAGACATAGAGAGTCATGATCACCTACCTCCCTAGGCAGGCATAGAGAGTCATGATCACCTACCTCCCGAGGAATACAGAGAGTCATGATCACCTACCGTCCGAGGAAGACATAGAGAGTCATGATCACCTACCTCCCGAGGAAGACATAGAGAGTCATGATCACCTACCTCCCGAGGAAGACATAGAGAGTCATGATCACCTACCTCCCGAGGAAGACATAGAG